CCTGTGCCAGGACACCCGTGTCCCACTCCCTTGTGTCCCCTGCCCCATATGAGGTTGTGGGGACACCCTGAGACGCAGGGACTCTTCCCACCTCTGCCCTGCCTTACCAGGCACCTGAGCGTGTTGCTTTTACCCTTTCCTTACCCGCTGGCTTGTCCCCTTGCCTTTTGGGCCAAGTTTATCCTGGGCCAGGTTTATCCTGCTCCAGGCACAGCCCTGGTTTCTGCTGGAGCTTCTGGATGCTGCAACGGCATCCACAATTACTCGAGTTTTGGACCGTGCACGTGTTTCCCCGAGCCTGGTCGATAGAGATGCGGTGATGGGTTAAACCTGTGCCTTGTGACGCCGGCTCAGCCCCATCTCTCCCCATCAGGGCTGCGGGGCTGGAAAAGCCTCGGGCGAGGAGCTAAGAGCAGGTAAAAAGAGGAAGGCTGCCACACAGCTCTCCTGAGGGCTGTTATCTCCCACCTCGATCCTGCCGGCCTCTGAGCAGCACTCGCGCTCACAGGGCACGAGGCAGCCTCGGGGACGGGCTGTGCCCGGCGCTGGCATGCGGCCATCGCCCTGGCGCTCCCGGCTTTGCCGCCGACCTGCTTCCCATTATTTGGGAATGTGGCTCTCGCCAGCATATGGGAGGCAGATTTTGCCCGGGGTTGCAAAGGAGGGAGATGGGGGTTGCTGATGCTGGCGCTGACCCTCGTGTCCCGCTCGGGGCAGGTACCGTGGGCCTGTTTGCAGGTCAGGGTTTTCTCTGGGGTCTGGAAATGAAGCATCTCCAAATCCCCCCTCCCTGTGGTCAGCTGCACCCCCAAATCCAGGCTAAATTGCTGGCGGAACCTGCAAGAACGCGTGCTCGGCTCGCTTCTGGAGGCAGACAGATGGACAGGGAAGAAATATAGGTGAGATTAGTGTTTGTCAGCTGCAGCTGGGTGCCGTGAGCTGTTGTTTCACTTGCAAAAGCCCTGCTGCTATTCTGGAAGCTCAGCTTTCTTTTCCCATCTTTGTCCCTCCGCGAAGGGAATGTCCCGGCTCCCCATAGGAGCCAGGAGGTGAATGAAAAGCATCTCCATGCATCCTGGGGTTTTTTTGGTTTGGGTTTGGTTTTGTTTTTTTTTAATCCCAGACCTCGTGCTGGGGATGGCGAGTGGTTTAGCAAAGCGGTGATTCCTTGCTGGGAGTGATGGTGGCCGGAGCGGGCGTGTGGGTCCAGCGCGGTCTGTCCCTGTGCTCCCACGCCGGTGGCTGTCCTCCTCCACCTCCCGCCCCCCCAAACCAGCCCCCAGCCTGGGGGAGCCCCTCCAGAGCTCCTTACGGCAGATGCGAGATTAAACAGGGGGCCGCTCTCTCCCTCCCCAGGCACCCATAAAGAAGGGGAAGGAAGGTTCCTAGGGCCCTTTCCCCAGCCATGCTCACCAGCCGATGCAAACATCAGGCTCCTTTCCAGCTCTTACTGTCTGGGGGGGGGTTGGGTGGGGTTTTTTTGTTTGGTGGTGGGTTGTTTTTTTTTTTTTCTTCCCTCCTGCACTAACCATAAATCAGGTTGCTCTCCCCAAGGACCATCTAGTGCAGCTGATCCCACACATGAAGACCACCTCGCAAAGCTCCTTCCCTCCCTCGCCCCCCAGCATGGCTTCAGCCTGGGATGCAGGGAGAGTGGTGGGGAGAGAGGATGCTCGTTGTCTCCCCCCCCTCCCGCCCCCGGGTCCTGCCTGCTGGCACCAGGCTCCCTTCCCAGGCATTGCAGGCAGAAACCCTTCAGCTCACGCTCGCAGCCCGGCTCTGCTCCTCTTCTCCATTCCAGCTTCTTTCCCAGGGGAGGATGGGGATTAAGAGGAAGCAGATTAAACCTAATGGATTGATTGCAATTATTTTCCCTTGTTTATTTGCAGTACCATGTGGGAGCCTGAAAAAAGGAAAGGGAACGTTCTTTATGTGTGTGCAGTCCTGGTCCTCATTACATTTCCTGCTAGAGAGCGACCCAGGCCAACCGAAAATAAAACCAGCTACATTTGAGCATCTTATTTCAAGCTCTTATAAACTGCAACATGTAAATACTTCTGTGTGCAAACCCACACGCAATCCTGGGCGAAGCAACTCCAACACCAGCCTCGTGAGGTCCCAGCTGCCCTCGCCCACCTGCCCCACGTTCACTGGGGGGACACGTACCCTCCTAGGAGCCATCAGAAGCTCTTTGAGGCAAGAGCCAACTTCTTGTTTGGGGGAAGTTTTACCTGTCACTGCGCCTGGGGGTTTCCCCCCCCCTAATTTGGCTGCCCAAGGGCTGTGTGAGTATTTAGCATCCGAAATGTGCCCTGTATCCCTTTGCCTACGCGGCAGCTGAGCCCTCCAAGCCCTTCCTGGACTCATTGCAAAAACTTTCCCCCACCTAAATAAATCTTCCATGGGTCTGGGGGTTTTGTGTAGGATCCCGGGAGGCTGATCCTGCACCTTGGGGTTCCGAGGCCAGCATTGCTAACAGCACCGGGGTGCAGAAATAGGCACCTTGTGCCCAAAGCAGCAAATGCTTCAAAATAAGAGGACTTGAGCCTTTTAATGCTCTTTTACAGCAGCTGAAGTAACTCAGAGGGGCGGGAGGAGGAAGCTACCCTCTCTTTCTGGGTTTTTTCCCAACATCGAAGGTCTCTCCTGGAGTGCACCGGCTGTGCTGTCCCGGGGAGCTGGGTGGGAGCATGGTGGGCAGCGCTGGGGGGATGCTCGGGATGCTGCCCGGCACCGCAGCCGCTTGTGTAACTGTTGTACAAAGCTGGGTAAGTCGTGTGAAGCTCCCAACGCTGCATTCCTGGCCGAGGTCCGAGTCTCCGCCACGTGCTCCCAAGAAATCCTCCTCGACCAGATAAGATCAGACTTTACATTCCTGCCATTTATACAGTTAAAATAGGAAGATGGGGGAGAAAGAAGAAAAAAACCCCACCCTTGAAGGCTTTGAGGCCGTCTTTCCTACCGTGGATTCACAAACCTCAGTTCTTGGGCGGGGGAAAAAACCAAGCGACACGCCAACGTAGTGATGCTCTTTATTGGCATCCAATGGATACACAAGGACAGCTACCCACCCGGCCGACGCAGCGGCCCGCCACCCCCCGTGCATCAC